ATCTGTTTGCCTCAAGTCTTTTCCCATTCCAAAACATTCTCCATTTAGTCACTAAAGTGATTTTCTTAAAATACAGGTCTGATCATGTAACTGCCCTACTCAATAAACTCCAATGGCTTCCTATTGACTCCAGGTAAAAATTCAATATGCTCTATTGGGCATTCAAAGCCCTTCATAACCTAGCCCCCTCCTACCTTTCCAATCTTCTTACACCTTAATCCTCTCTTTCCATACTCTTTGATCCAGTTACACTGGCCTCTTGGCTCTTCCACAAACAAGATACTCCATCTCTCAGCTCCAGGCATTTCCTCTGACTTTGCCCCATGCCTGGAGTGCTTTCCCTCCTCCACTCTGACTATTGACCTCCTTGGCCTCCTTTAAGTCTCAGAAAAATCTCACCTCTTCCAGGAAGCCTTCTCCAATCCCTCTTAATTCCAGTGCCTTTCCTCTGCTGATTATTTCCTATTTCTCCTGTATATAGCTTGTTTTATATATTTGTTTGCATGTTTTTTCCCCCATTAGATTGTGAGCTTCTTGAGGGCAGGAACTATTTTTTGCTTCTTTTTGTGTCCCTAGCATTTAGAACAGCACCTGACACATAGTAAGGTACTTCATAAATGTTTATTAAATTAAACTGAATTGAATTGTGACTATATGGGAATACACCACTGGATTCTGGCATTTTGCTCCTTGACTCTCTGTTCCTAACAGACTGATAAAACATTGTTTATGTTGTTGCTGGTGGTCATGGGTAGTGTTTTCTGTGCCCATCAAAACAAAGTTAGTACCAAAAATGAAGACTGCTGCAAAAGGAAAGTGATGACCAGTGAGGTCTCTCCCTCAGCACTCTGCCCCTGCAGTGGAGGGATGGAAGCAGCTGCCATTAACAGCCTCATTGTTCTGAAATTTTGCCCTGACTCCTCTCATGAGGAGCAAGAGCCTAAAGCAGAAGTCTAAAGATGGCACAGGGCTAACTGCTTTCTGCAGGATCTGTACCCTTCTCATTCTCTGTTACTTCATTATCATTTACTAACCTTTTATATAAAGAAAACTAGTGACCACTAATTCTTGTCGCACAATTAATTAATACTAATCACACAACACTTATAGAAGTTTGGTGAAATGGCTAAACATTATTAGAAAGTAGGAGACATATTTCACAAGGAGAGGGCAAAGTTAGTAATGCCCCAACCCCATCCAGGAAATCACAAATATTTTGGTATCACTCTGTGATGATATTTTTAGTCAGTTCAAGTTCAAAAGCAGAAATTGTAAGCAGAAAGAAAATAATGACCTAAACTGAATCAAAAACCCTTTGATATAGCAGAATAACTTTGCAAGTGAAGGATCTGAGAATGGGGGAGAGAATGAGGAGAGGAAGGGACTTCAAATTTTAAACATGTGTTTTTAAAACTTTGGGTGACAAATTTCCTCCCTTCCTCCCTCCTCACCCACCCTCATTGAAAAGGCAAGCATCTCGATACAGGTTATAGGTGTGTAGTCATGCAAAACACTTCCATAGTAGTCCTGTTGTGAAAAACTAAGTATATTTCCCTTCATCCTATCCTACCCTCCATTTATTCTATTCTCTCTTTTGATGCTGTCCCTCCTCAGAAGTGTTTGCTTTTGATTATCCCCTCCCCCGATCTGCCCTCCCCTCTATCAAGCCCCTGCTCTCTTGTCCCATTCTCCCCTTATTTTCCTGTAGGATAAGATAGAGTTCCATACCCCACTGTGTATGTTATTCCCTCCTTAAGCCAAATCCTGTGAGAATAAGATTCACTCATTCCTTCTCACCTGCCCCCATTTCCCCTCCACTGTAAAAGCCTTTTCTTGTCTGTTTCATGTGATATATTTTACCTCATTCTACTTCTCCCTTTCTCCTTCTCCCAGTATAATCTTCTCCTACCCCTTAATTTTATTTTCCAGATATCACCCCTTCATCTTCAACTCACCGTGTGCCCTCTATCTATCTATACATACATATAATTTTTTCCCTCCCACTACCTTAATACTGACAAAGGACTCAGGAGTTACAAATATCATCTTTCCCTGCAGGAATGGAAATAGTTCAACCTTAATAAGTCACTTATGCTTTCTCTTTCCTGTTTACCTCTTCCATGTTTCACTTGAGTCTTGTATTGGAAAATCAAATTTTCTATTCAGCTCTGGTCTTTTCATCAAGAATGCTTGAAAGTCCTCTATTTCACTGAATGACCATTTTTTTTACCTTGAAGGATTATACTCAGTTTTGCTGGGTAGGTGATTCTAGGTTGTAGTCCTATCTCCTTTGCCCTCTGAAATATCATACTCCATACCCTCCAAACCCTTAATGTAGAAGCTGCTAAATCTTGTGTTATCCTGATTGTGTTTCCACAGTAGTTGAATTGTTTCCTTCTGGCTGCTTGCAATATCTCTCCTTGACCTGGGAATTCTGGAATTTGGCTACAACATTCCTAGGAGTTTTCCTTTGGGGATCTCTTTCAGGATGTGATCAGTGGATTCTTTCGATTTCTATTTTGCCCTCTGGTTCTAAAACATCAGGGCAGTTTTCCTTGAAAATTTCTTGAAAGATGATGTTTAGGCTCTTTTCTTGATCATGGCTTTCAGATAATCCAATAATTTTTAAGTTCTCTCTCCTGGATCTATTTTCCAGGTCAGTTGTTTTTCTGATGAGATATTTCACAATCTATCCTATTTTTTCAGTCCTTTGGATTAGTGTTACAGTGCCTTGATTTCTCAAATTGTTACTAGCTTCCAATTTCTCCATTCTAATTTTTAAGGAACTATTTTCTTCAGTAAGCTTTTGGACTTCCTTTTCAATTTGGCCAATTTTGCTTTTTAGAGCATTCTTCTCCTCATTGTCTTTTTGGACCTCTTTTGCCATTTGGGTTAGGCTACTTTTTAAGGTGTTATTTTCTTCAGTATTTTTTGGGGGTCTCCTTTAGCATCACTCTCAGTTTTTCCTCTACTTCTCTTACTTGCTTCTCAAAATCCTTTTTGAGCTCCTCCATGGCCTAGGACCAATTCATATTTTTCTTGGAGGTTTTGGATGTAGGAGCTTTGGCTTCATTGTCTTCTTCTGGTTGTATGTTTTGATCTTCTTTGTCACCAAAGTAAGATAATATAGTCTGACTCTTTTTGTGCTGCTTGCTCATGATCTCAGCCAATTACTTGAGTTATAAACTCTTTGTTAAGGCAGTAGTCTGTTTCCAGTGTAGAGAATGCACTGTCCCAAGTTTCAGGGGTTTTGTGCAGCTGTTTTCAGAGATACTTCTACAGACCTGTAAACTTTCAGTTCTTCCAAAATGCTGTGATCAAGGGGGAGTTGTTTACTCCTTTCCTGGTCTGTGCTGTGGTCTATGAGCACTCTTTTCTGTCTGGGAACTGTGAGGAGGGTTTCCTCTCCACCACCACTACAAGCTCCACCACGCCAGTGCTCCTCCTCACCCCAGGACCACCATTCAGAACTGTGACCTAGATCCAAGCACGGACAAAGCAAGAGAATCCTGCACCAGCAGAGAGATCCCTGCAATCTCCCTCTGATCAGTCACTCAATTCCCCCTCAGTCTGTGGGCCGGATACTCAGGAAGCAGCCACTGCCCCCACATCAAGCTCGGGGACTGGAGCTGAGACTACCTCGCTTTTCTCTCTCACCGTAGACACAGACTTTTCCCATTGACCTTCTAAGTTGTCTTTGGTGTTTGTGGGTTGAGAAGTCTGGAAACCATCCCAGCTGCCTGTGATTCAGTCCTCTGAGGCCTGCTCCAGGGTCGCTGTGGCCTGCGTGCCCATGACAAACTGCTCTCCTCTCCCCGCCCTGCGCGATATACCTTTCTGATCAACCATCCAGGCTGTCTTGGTCTGGAAATTTGTTTCACTCTGTCTTTTTGTGGGTTCTGCTGTTTTAGAATTTGTTTAGAGCCATTTTTTACAGGTATTTGGAGGGATTTGGGGGAGATCTCAAGCAAGTCACTGCTTTTACTCAGTCATCTTGGCTCCGCCCCCCTCATATACCTTCTGATTTACCCGTGGATAAAGATCATAACATAGTGCACCCTATACCTTTTGCCTTGACCCACAGTAACCTTTACGTGCCCCAACCCCTCTGAGATTAACCAGATTTACAGAGGAGTCCTCTACCACCTCTGCAGCATTGCCCTTCACACATTCAACAGCCACATATGAATGTATGCATGCATGCACGTATATACATACAAATATAAATATGTTGTAAAAATGTGTGTATATGTATGTGTGTATGTATCTGTGTGTGTTTATGTGTTTATATGTGGATATGTATATGTAACATACGTAAAGGCAGCTTGGTGCCTTAGTGGATAGAGTACTGGATTTGGAGTCAGGAAGACTTGAGTTCAAATCTGACCTCAGATAGTCACTAGCTGTGTGACCCTGGAAAAGTCACTTAAATTATATTTGACTTAATCTTCTGAAGAAGGAAATGGAAACCACTCCAGTATCTTTCCCAAAACAACAACAACAACACAACCCATACAGGGTAACAAAAGTTGGATACAACTGAATGACTGAACAACAACAATATGTATGCATGTGTATGTGTGTGTGTGTTTTATGTCTGTGTTTTATATATGTGTGTATGTATGTATATGTGTGTATTTATATATGTTTGTGTGTATTTGCATAGTGAGAGACAAGTTGTGAAATACATTTGAACCATCTCCTTTGTTTCAAAAGGTAGCTGAACTGGTACATACAGACTGGCGTTTGTTTCTTTTTTTAGTTCAAGTCATAACTAGTGGACCAAATGGCCCTCCAAAGATGAGTAGGACCCATCTAGCCATTCACAAATAGGCAGAAATATCCATTTATTAGAAAAAAAATTCACAGCCTCTTGAATAGTATTTTAATAGAATTTATGTACTTATCTAATTTGTGAACTTAAATCCATGTAAATACTTTGTTCAAGTGTCATACCAATTTCAATAATTAACAAAAAGAGTTTCCAAAGAATTACCTACCTGCAGGTGCTACTTTTCTGCATAACGTCAGCTCGATGATATCCAGAGAGTTTACAAAAACCGTCATTACTATAAACTATAGGCCAGTCCACAATCTGGGCATTTCCCAGTAAAAAACTTGATTCTAAAGAAGAAATAAGAAAGAGAAAATTACTTGGCTTCATATGCTGAAAATGGAGTCAGAGGCTTTGGGTTCAAATCCTGATTTCTACTTGTTATCTATATCTGTATGATTTTGAGAAAATAACAACTTTATAGGCCTGCAGTTTCCTCATCTATAAAAGGAGAGGAATGGCTTAGATGATCACTGAGGTCCCTTGCATTTCTAAATCTAAAATCCTATGATCTACAAAATAATTCAAGGGGTTATTTGAAAAAATGACCAAGATCATTTGTAGTATGAGTTTATTCATCATCCAATATTGCATACAACTTATATTTTAAAATCATGTTATCAGTTAAGCTTCAGCATTTGGATAAGTAAATGGTTGATTTGTGTACATAAGAACTCTTTTTAGAAAAAAAAAGGAAGATAGTTTTCAAAGTCTGTGTGCACTCAATCATGCCATTAAACTATTCAATTTAAACACATGCTAGTCAGATAGTTGATAAAACAGATAGAGTAGAGGACTTGAATTTGCCCTGGGCAAGTAACAATCTCTTTCAACCTCAGCTTCCTCATCTGTAAAATGAAATCAATGACAGAACCACAAAATTTTAGTAAGGATTAAATAAGTTAACATATGTAAAATATTTTGCAAATCTTAAAGAACTACATAACTGTCAGCTATCATTATTATTATTATAATTATTGATTGTTATCTATTGCAATAATTACACTTAAGGTAAAAGGTTTATTGAGCCAAGATGTCAGAGAAAAGGCAGAGATCCACATGAGTTCTCTTCAAAACCCCTCCAAAAAAACTTTAAATAATGCCTTTAAAAATATTCTGGAGTGGCAGAACCCACAAAAGGACAAAGTGAAATAATTTCCAGCCCAACAACTTAGAAGGTAGACAGGAAATATCTGTTGCACCAGGGTGAGAATGGAGCACAGTCCAGTGCAGGCCACACACCACAAACCAGCAGTAGGTTTTGGGGGTTCCTGAATGAGTGGTGAAAATGACAATCCCCAGACATCTCAGCCCACAGATGATAAGAAGGTCAGACAAGTGGTCAGAAGGAGATTACAGGGGTCACTTTGCTGTAACCAGAATCAGGACTCTATTACGTGGCACATATTTGGATCTAGGTTGCAATCCTAGAGTGAGGAAGAACACTACCATACCACAGCTTGTGGCCACAGGAGAGCTGGGAACCTGGTCACAGTTCCAGGGCAGAAAAGAGTATTTGTGGTCACTCAGAGATCAGAGAACAGCACCAATAAAGTAGTAAACACACCTCTCCCAAGATCATACCACCTTGGAAGAACAAAAACCTTACAGGTCCAAGAATTATCTCTGAAACACCTGCACAAAAAACCTGAAGCTTTGGACAATGTTCCCTCTACTTTAGCATAGAGTCCAAAGTCAAGACATAGGCTGAAAAAAATGAGTAAATAACAGAAAATATCCTAACTATAGAAAGTTACCATGGTGACAAGGAAGATCAAAACACATACTTGGAAGAAGACAACAAAGCCAAAAGTGCTACATCCAAAGCCTCAAAGAAAAATATGTATTGGTTTTTGGCCATGGAAGACCTCAAAAATTATTTTAAAAATCAAGTAAGAAAGATGGAAAAAAAATTGAAAAAAGAGTCAACACCTAGGTAAAAGAGGCACAAAAGTACTGAAGAAAATGATACATTAAAAAACAAAACAGGCCAAATGGTAAAAGAGGTGCAAAAACCCAATTAAGAGAAGAATGCCTTGAAAAGTAGGATTGACCAAATGGATGCACAAAAATTCACTAAAGAAAGAACTCCTTAAAAATAGAATTCATCAAATGGAAAGAGGTACAAAAGCTCACTGAAGAAAATAACTTATTAAAAATTAGAAATAGGAGCACAGCTAGGTGGCACAGTAGATAGAGCACTGGCCCTGGAGTCAGGAAGGACAGTTCAAATCTGGCCTCAGACACTTAACACTCACTAGCTGTGTGACCCTGGGCAAGTCACTTAACCCCATTGCCTAGCCAAAAAAAAAATTGTCCAACCTACAATAAATGGGTCAGCTGGGTGGCATAGAGGGTAGAGTTCTGGGCTTGGAGTCAGGAGGACCTGAGTTCAAATCCAGCCTCAGACACTTGACACTTACTAGCTGTGTGACCATAGGCAAGTCACTTAACCCCTATTGCCTCATCAAAAAAATTAGAAATAGGCAAGTGGAAGCTAATGACTTTATGAGACATCAAGAAACAATCAAAAAAACAAAAGCATAAAAAAATAGAAGAAAATGTGAAATATCTCATTGAGGAAACAACTGACATGGAAAATAGAACAAGGACAGACAATTTGAGAATTATTGGACTACCAGAAAATTGCTATTAAAAAAAAAGCTTAGACATTGTATTTCAAGAAATTATCAAGGAAATGTTGTGATATTCTAGAACAAGAGAGTAAAATAGAAATTGAAAGAATCTACCAATTCACTTCCTGAAAGAGATCCCAAAATGAAAACTCTCAGGAATATTATAGCCAAATTCCAGAGATCCCAGGTCAAGGAGAAAATATTGCAAGTAGCCAGAAAGAAATAAGTCAAATAAGTCAAATAAATCAGAATAACATAAGTTATGGCAGTTTCTACATTAATTGGAAAGGCAAATGAGCTAGGATTACAACCAATAATCATCTACCCAGCAAAACTGAGTGTAATCTTTCAGAGGAAGGAAGGATATCCAATGAAATGGACTTTCAAGAATTCCTGATGAAAAGATCAGAGCTGAATAGAAATTTTGACTTTCAAATACAAGACTCAAGAGAAGCATAAAAAGGAAAACAAGTAAGGGAAATCATAAGGGATTCAATAAGATTAAACTGTTTACATACTTATGTGGAGAAAATGATACTAATATCTCCTAAAAACTTTCTCATTATTAGGGCAGTTGGAGGGAATATTCATAGACAGAAGGCATGGGTATAAGTTGAATAAGATATGATAATTATCTAAAAAAACAAAATTGAGGGGTGAGAAAGAGAAATGCATTGGGAGATGGGCAAAGGGAGAAGTAAAATTAGGTAATTTACCTGGCATAAAAAAGGCACAAAAGAACTTTTACAGTGGAGCGGAAGATGGAGGATGTGGGGAGAGGGACACTTGAACCTTGTTCTCATTGGAATTGACTAAAAGAGGGAATAATATACACATTCATTTGGGCATAGAAATCTGTCCTATTCTACAGGGACAGAGGAAGGGAAGGGGATTAGAGAAGGGGGAAAGATTGATAGAAGGGAGGTTGGATTGGGGAAGGTGATAGAAACAAAATATTTTTGAGGATGGACAGGGTAAAAGGAGAGAGAGAATAGGATAAATGTGGAGAAATAGAATGGAGGGAAATAAATATATTGTTAGTAATCATAACTGTGAAAAAAATTACAGCAAGTTTCTCTCATAAGGACCTTATTTCTCAAATATCTAGTAAACTGAGTCAAATTTCTAGAAATAAGAGCCATTCCTCAATTGATAAATGGTCAAAGGATATGAACAGGCAGTTTTCAGATAAAGTAATCAAAGCTATCTGTAGTCACATGAAAATATGTTCTAAATCAGTATTAATTAGAGAAATGTTAATTAAAACAACTCTGAGCTACCAACCCATACCTATCAGATTGACTAATATGACAGAAAAGGAAAATGACAAATTTTGGAGGGGATGTGGGAAAATTGAGACACTAATGTGCTATTGGTGAAGTGGCATACTGATTCAACCATTCTGTGGAGCAATTTGGAACTATGTCCCACGGGCTATATTCCCTTTGACCACATAATACTTCTACTGGGTCTGTATTCCAAAGAGTTAAAAAAACAAAAAAGAAAAAGACCTATGTCTCCAAAAATATTAATAGCAGCCCTTTTAGTGGTGGAAAAGGATTGAAAATGAGGGAATGTCCATCAAGTGAGGAATGGATGAATAAGTTGTTGTATATGACTGTGATGGAATACTATTGTGCTATAGAAAATTACAAGCAGGATGCTGTCAGAAAAAAAAAACTGAATAGATTTGCATGAACGAATTCAAAGTAAAATGAGCAGAACCAGAAGACCATTGTATATAGTAACAGCAACATTGTATGATGATCAACTGTGAATGACTTAGCTATCCTCAGTAATGCAATGATCCAAGACAATCCTGAAGGACTTATGATGAAAACTGCTATCCATGTCCAGAGAAAGAATTGATTGAGTCTGAAATGCATATCCAAACATACTTTTTCTTTATTTTTCTTGGGGGGGGGTAGAGTCTGTGTTTTCTTTCACAACATGATTAACATGGAAATTTTAAAAATAATGTGCTTTGCTCACTAAAAATAAAAAAGATTAAAGGTTTATTAACAATAAGTTTGTTCGGGGGGGGGGGGGCAGAGCCAAGATGGTGGAAGGAAAGCAGTGACTTGCCTGAGCTCTCCCTCAAACCCCTCAAAATACCTATAAAAAATGGCTCTAAACAAATTCTAAAGCAGCAGAACCCACAACAAATCAGAGTAAAACAAATTTCCAGCCCAAGACAATCTGGATGGCTGGTCAGAAAGGTATATAGCACCGGGTGGGGAGAGAAGCACAGTTCGTTGTGGGCGTGCAGGCTGCAGCAAACCTGGAGCAGGCCTCAGAGGACTGAATCATGGGCAGCTGTGGAGGTTTCCAGACTTCTCAACCCACAAATGCCAAAAACAAGTTAGAAGATCAGTGGGAAAAGTCTATGACTGCACTGAGAGAAGGAGCTAGGTCTCAGCCGCAAGTCCCAAGCCCAGCCTCTGGGGCAGCAGCTGCCTCCTGAGCTTCCAGCCCACAGACTGAGAGGAAATCAAGTGGCTGATCAGAGGGGGATTGCAAGGATCTCTTTGCCACTGCTGAGGCAGGAATCTCTTGCTTTGCCCATGCTTAGATCGGGGTCACAGTTCTGAGGGGCGATCCTGGGGCAAGGAGCACTGGTATGGTGGAGCTTGTTGTGGTGGTGGAGAGGAAAC